GCTAATAGAAGAATCATTTGGTTTTTTTAATTGTAAAGAGCTTAATTTTTTCATGTAAGTTCCTTACCTCCACACTGATATCGAAAATCTGCTTTCATCTATTTTCGAGCAGATGCGTGAACGCAATACCTTTCACCCACATTTAGAAAGCTCTGTGACCTTTCAAAAGATGTAAAATGAAGGATTTGTGGTCAAGGACATTTTCTGAGGAACAATAATGAAAGCTTTCAGTCTGATTCCTTAGCAAAGTATAATTTTTCTAATCTCATGAACTGCAGTATTTTGCGAGTATATTTCTGCTGGTTTTAGATATATGGTAACGCATTTAAATAAATACTTTAAGTAACTTAGCCAAGGTTAAAAAATAAATGTTGCAGGTGACTTATGCTTTTAAGGTGCTCCATAACTTACATTTGTTTAACCATCTTTGTGTTTTATAATGACTTGGCGAATGAGGTGGTACCTTTGAAGAAATGGAACGGTCCGCTCTAGGTATATAAAAATGGATCAGGCCACACGCTTTGTGCTTAATTAGAAAGATTTAGTGTTAGGGCATAGACTTCAACTGCAGGTTAAGAGGTCGCGAGTCTTTTTTCCTGAGCAAAACTTTCAGAATTTCCACTGTTGCCATCAACTTCATGAAAATATTGAAATTAGATATATCCTTTTTATATTAATTTCTTTCAGTAAGAACAGCAAAATGAAATCTGTTCCTTGTGAACCTGACAAAGGGTTCCATATTGTAATGGAATAAAATTTAGGATCTAGAAACCTGCTAAAATAATAAAAATATATATTAATATTTGACTAAAGCGATTTTTATATATTTATTAGGCCAAATGGGCAATTTGCCCAAAAGAGCTATTAATTTCGTTTTGGTATTTTGCTTTGTTTCCCCTTCAAATTGGCGTTTCCCTTTTCAAATTGTTGCCACCAAATATTAGAGACCTGTATTATGTTTAAAGAATTAAATAATAAAGAATCTGCACGAATGCATGTATGTTTCTCACAATGTGAAAAACCAGCGATACCTAAAGACATCAAATTTTGAATTAAGGAGTCATCCACTAGAATATGGGCATCTAGAAGCCTAAATTTGGAATTTGTTTTAGTATTTATTTCACGTTTTATAAAAATTTAACGAAATTTGGATTAAAAAATTCAATGATTTCAAAGCGAGCAATGACAAAACTGTACGGGAATAAAATTATCTCCAGCGCGCGAGACAGTGTCTCGGAAATTCTAGATATATGTTCGGTTTAAATTATTTATTATACTGCTGCTGAATTGAATTTTATGTTTCAAGTGCGAAGATCATGATATTTAATAAGTAAATATAACACACAAAAGGTTGAAAAAAAAAACGCCTCTTTGGAAGTAATATGTAATATAAAGTCTGAAAGCTATTAGATATTTAATTTTTTCATTTATTTATTTTAACGAAGAGGGATTCTCATTTTCAACTGAAAAGTAAAAAGTAATAAATGCGTAAAAACATGATACATACACATTTTTGGAAAAAAACATTGGAATGATTCCTATCCGCTGAGATTTCAAACTACACAATTTAACGCTCTTATAGTATGAAATTTCAAATATTAGAACTAGATTACCGTTGAAATGTAAACCCTAGCAGTTTTGCTTTTCAGCTTGCAAATAAGGTTTGATAGCAGAAATACAGGAAACTCAATACGTATTATTTACGAAAACATGTAGAATTAAGTATCACTCTTTGTATGTACAAAGTATGATAAAATGGATCTAATTTTAAAGAATGCGTGTAATTTGATTCACACTCACAAGCGAACGAGAGATATTTGGCATTCAATGCTTACATGTCAAAACGTCTGATTATGATTGTTAAGTATGATGGAGAACTTATGTCTAAGGTAGATTTAATGGGTATAAGAAAATCACTTTAAGTTGATTATAAGTTCTGATACATTAATTATATTATTTAGAAAATATTAAATTTTTTATGTATATTGTTGTAGATTTTGGACAGGAAAAAATTTATTTCTTACAGAAAGTATATTCTTAAGCTCACAGTTAACGGTTTACACCTTAATTTAATTAGAACAAAACTTAATCTATATGTTGCCGACAAAGTATGAAATCCGGCATTCTATAGAATACCCAGGCATTTTATAGAATACCTAAAACTGGCCGGTCAGTGTATGAAATGTTTAAACATTTACACATTGCCTAGGCATTCTAAGAATGCCAAATGGCGAACCGGCAGAGTGTGGAATACATATCTGATTCGTTTCGAATAACCGAAACTACTTACTAGAAGCTAGTAAATGATATAAAAAAAAGGCCAAATTAACTACTAAGAAGGAATCATGGAGGTATTAGTTGCTGAATTGCTGTGATGTGATAATTGTGGGAAACAAAAGTAAACTCATTTATCCCGTTAAAGAAGGAATCAGTGCTATACAATATTATAGCACCGACGCTGAATTATTTTAGGTACTTTGTGAAACTCATTTGGCTATTGGACACAGTAGTCCTGAAAGAATGCTGAAAGAATGTTAAACCAAATACAATATATATATATATATATATTAAAAAGGCATTGTTGTGAAAATAATTTTTTCTGAATTAAACTCCCGTTGACAGGTAGATCTTATTGAGTTCTAGTCTCACCAAGATAGAGAATAAAAATTTATTACGGTGTAGCAAGGTTATTGGTGTACCAATTTATTATGGTGTATCATTTACTTTGTTTACGTATTTTGAATAATAATAAGTTTTTTAATGGCAGTATTTCATTATTTTTCCAAAATATCACTTGCATTTTTGAACATGACCTTTTTTCGATACTTTGCCTTTCGTTTGTCGTTCTATAGAATGCCTAGGTATTATAGACAGTGCCCAGAAAAAGTATATAAAGATTTTTATATTTGATGCTTTGCCTAAAAATGCCTAGGTATTATATAGAATGCCGGCGTTTCATACATTGCCGGTAACATATACAAAGAGATATAGAAACCTGTGCAGACAACAAATATGTTTTGCAGCATCTTCTTAAATGAAAGCTAAGAACGTTTTCCATTACCAATGTAATAAAAGTAAGAAGTGTAAAGAGAATTAGAAATTTATTTGATTTCTTAATGATGCATTTCAAAATACTATAATTATTATTCATTAATTCAACTCTCTGCTGCTGTCCACAGTGTGAAGAAAATACCTAACAGTAAAGGAAAAAAATAGTATTATCTTAGAAAGAAAAATATTATTATCTGATCTCAGAATTCGCGAGAATAGGATGTAAACAATTGCCACGTGGAATAGCCCAATAAAACATTTTGCTGCTTATTGATGAAATATATTGAAAAAAAAATAATAATTTTTTAAAATGTTGTAGAATCATTAGGTTATTTTGAAGCAGGAGGTATGAAAATTGTGCAATGCCCTCGCCGGGACTCGAACCTGAATCTCTCGAATACGCCCCGAGTGTGCTACCGTTACACCACGAAAGCATGCTGGAAGGACAGAAAAAACACCTTATAATATTAATTTTTTACCTGAACTATGATCCGACTGTTGCTTGCAAAGAAACTGATGTGCAAACAAAACATGTTAGAACTTCTGTGATTCTCCCAAACTTTTAATCAATTTATTAAATTCCTCAATCCAAATTAAGAAAATATTTTGAAATATTGGGTTATATTTTCTGCCTGTGAAAATTCTAAAATTACATATTTATTTTTTTCTTTCTTCTTAAATATTTTACTATTAAATATTCTTAAATATATTTTTTTTTCATTTCATTTTTACTTGTCTAATTTTATATTTGGACTCAGTTTTATTCTGGGTAGCAATTATACTAAGAGTAAAATCCTCTTTTGATTATTTATAAAATGTTACATTTAAAAAGTGTTTTGATAGAAGACTTTAAAACTGTTTCATGAAATAAAAATTTTAAAGGGCATTTTATCCTTAGTTTGAAATTGGAATTCTCAAGATTTTTTTAAACAAATGTTTGTAAAAGGGAACTGCAACTATAGGTGAACAACGAGATGCATTCACTAAAATTATCTTTAATTGTTCGTACGTACAGGCGAATGGAACGTCAAAGTTAAATTTTCCATTAGGATTTCATTTCTAAATGCATAAGTACATTTCAAAATAAAAATAAACATCATCATTTTTTTATTGATTTACTTTTTTCATTAAATCTCATGCCTTTAAAATGATAAGTGTTATTCTTCGAAGGAAAATTACATAAACCTTTTACGTCCTCCGAATTGAATATATATATATATAAACACAAATTAAAAATTAAAATAAAAAAAAATCTGAAAGATTTCCGATTTTAAATTACGTCCAAAAGGACTTTTTTTTAACGGTTTGTGTGTTACCTTTATCTATTAAATATCACGTTCTTTGCACTTAAACCATAAAATTCAGTTCAACAGCAATGTCGCAAAATAATTTAAAATGAGCATATCTTTAGAATATCCGATACACAGTCCCGCGCGCTGGAGATAAAAAGGTTTTTTCTCCCCGTAGAGTGTTGCGATTGCTCGCTTTTAAATCGTTGAGTTCCTTAACCAAAAATTCGTTAAAGTTTACAAAATATGAAATCGATAATAAAAGAAAATTCGAAATTTCAAATTTGGGCTTTCAGAAGCCCATATTCGCATTAGGTTTACGTCCTTCAAAATTGCATGGGTGAGGGTACCGTTTTTTTTATCACATTGCGAGAAACATACATACATTTATGCAGATTCTTCATTATTTAATTTCTTCAAATATAATACAGGGCGATAGTATTTGGTGGCAACGATTTGAAAAGTGATACAGCCTTTTAAAGTTTTCAACACAAAAATAGCAAAACGAAAACAATAGTCCTTCAGGGACAAAGTCCCTTCGGACTAAAAATTAAATAAAATTTTAAAAACTTACTTATCGTCTTCCTATGACAATTAAATAAAATTATTTATTTACTGCTTCTAAATATAAAAAATGTGTTAGAGATAATTTCAACTTACGTGTTTTTCTTCTTAGAAATAGGCACACACAGTGTAACCATACGTGTAACAGGTACAACAGGGAGAAAATGCACAACTTTCACCTATGGTACACTTAAGTTGAGTAGAAGACCAGGTTGAGAAAAATTCTCCCTCCGATCACTCTACCTCAACTGTCATTCCCTCTGGGTATATTCTCTGTAGGCATAAATGACGGGTTATAACATAACGTCGGCTGACCTTGTGAACCATTGAGGTTGATTTCTTACGTCATGACGACGGCTGCGCGTGATTCAACGGCTCTCACTTAGTTCTTGAAATTCAATAATCGCGGAATACCGAGAAGATTTAAAAGAAGTGGATGAGAGATTTTACTGCCTTGCATTGTTCGTTTCATTTATCTCAACTTTAAAGGACTCATTTAAGAGCAGGCATTATCATGCGAACCTGACTTTGTCAAGAGGAAGTTTACATTCATTACAAACTCGCGGAGAACAATCGTAACCTAGAGGACTGACTTTTTCTCTTCCTCATTTTGAACTTATATTTCGATTCTCTACTAAAGTTCGCCTATTTTGCTTTAAAGCAGAGATGTCCAGCGAGTAACCTTTACAAGGTTAACAAAATTTATCTTTGTTATTAATATAATTAATTGAGGACTTTTGTATGCTTATATGTTTTCATATTTCTGGTTATCATAGGTCATTTTCAGAGCTGTTAAAATTATTAAATACGTCACTTATAATCGACTTTAATAAACATATTTCTTAGAAGAATTTCCGATATTGTTTAATTTATTATATACTGATCTGTTAAATTTACAGATTTCTTACGCGTGTAATTTTACGTTTGGTCTCAGTATTCTTCTAACAGCTGTTAATTCGAATTAAATACAGGATAAATTAAGAAAATACCATTGTCTTGCAGATGATTATAGCAATTTATTTGGATAATATTTGCTTGTGTTATCTCAAACTAAATTACTGTAGATGGCAAAGCAACAAGAATAAGCGTAATATACATAAATGAGTAAGTAAAAAAATAATTCATGACTAAGTTTATGAATATTAAGTTCATAAACTTATTTATGAATACATAAAGACTAATTCATAAACATCTTTTATTCATAAACATATATTTCATAAATAAATTACTTTATAAAAAATCTGAACATATCTGAACAACAGAAAACCAGCATATCTTTAGAATTTCCGATATACAGTCTCGCGTGCTGGAGATAAAAATGTTTTCTCTAAACAACGTTGCCATTGCTATCTTTGAAATCCTTGAGTTTGTTAATCAAAAATTGGTTAAAGTTTTAAAAAATATGAAATCGATCATAAAACAATTCCAAATTTCAAATGGGGCTCCAGATCCCTATTCTAGGAGAATTACGTCATTAAAATGGATGGATTGTAGGTTACCGTTGTTTTACCACATGCGAGAAATTAATACATTTATGCAGATTCTTCATTATTTAATTTATTTAAATATAATACAGGGAAATAATATTTGGTGTCAACAATTTGAAATGTGAAACAACGCTTATAGTGAATCAGCGCGAAATGCCAAAACTAAATTAATAGTTCTTCTGGGCTAATTGCTCCTTTGGATTAATAAGTTTGTAATATTAAGTTATGAATAATAAGTTCTGAATATTATGCTAAATTCTGTTACCTTTCCATTTCCAATAATCATTATTCGGGGGATTATTTTACTCAGAGATCAAGCTAAACTTTAACTATGGAAATTTCTTCAATTCTGTGTCAGATCCTTTTGTCACGCTTTTAACATCCATTACAATCCTTTTCAGTATTTTCAGTATCCTTTCCGTATTATATTTGTACTCACATCATAACTGGTGTGGTTGTCGTGATGGCATAGATAATATGTGTCGGTTTGTAATAGCTACGTAAAAGCAATACGTTTAACATATCTCTACAAAAAAAAAAAAAAAAAAAAAAAAAAAAAAAAAAAAAACATCCCCAAAAGTGAAATCTGACGATTTAAGATTTAAAGCGAAGGTGAGGAATGCATTACAATTCGCTCCTTTAACATTAGATTGGAAGCCTGTTATAACATGATCCGTTTTTGACTTATCCTGAATTTATATCATCTTGAAGTAATCCATATTTTTATAACAGAACGCACTCCTAAAATACCAACTAAGTAAATCATTGCGTAGCTATGACGCCAAGCATGCATGTTAACCTTTTGGTGGTCGTCAACGAGCTCAACTCACATTTCAGTTAAGCACCGCAAAGGGCTCAAAAGAACACAGCTCGCATTACATATTTACGACAAATAGATAACACACCTATTTGGGAAGAAAGAATTGTTTAATTTCGCAACTGCCGAAGGGTTAAAAGGGTGTTTAAGAGGTCCCGAAAGGTTAAAGGGCTGAAGGGTTTAATTTCGCCACCACCGAAGCGTGCTCCTCATCTGTCTGTTAGGTATCACAAGTGAGTCTTAAAATCGTGAGGGGTCTTGGGTACCAAATGTTTGTAAATTATTAAATACGTTTTAAAAATAATAAGCACATCCTATGGCTTAAATACGGGGTCCTAAAAGTTCAGGTGTTCCGCCAATGCCCTTATTCGCACAGAAATTAGCAAATTTTGTTTTAAGCGTTCAAATACTGGCGAACGTATCTGTGTGTTCCGTAGGCTGCATATGAGTCTTCGTGTTTCCTCTCAGAAATATTTCCACCAGGAGATCCCTCTTCTTTGTCAGATAGCCCTTGCACAGTTTACAAAAATACAAGTAACGCTAATCCTTCCTGTAAAACAATGAAGGGCTTATCGCATACCATGGGTACCTTGGAAATGAAAACAGATATAATATTATAGAAATAACTTAATAAAATGCATCATTGTGCCAAGAAACGTCAGCAAATGAAGAAGTGTTCCACTTAACAGATCATGTTTTATCTTAGTACACATATATTCATAAACCCTGTGTGTCCCATCGGATTTGAAAGGTTATAAGGGAAAAAATTAGGTTAAATAGTATCCATTATTGAGCATCAAAAACACTCTGAAAATTGCTTATGGATATAAGAATCAACAAATATAAACTTCATGAAATTCAAGCAGTAGATTATGAATACATTAATGTAGTTTCAACAAGACAATCGAGAAGAAAAAGACAGAAAAAACAAAGGAAAAAATATGTAAAAAAGGAAAACCTTCAATTCTGTCGGAGACTTGGCAACAATGCGTTTCGATAAATCTGATATCGATTCCAGGAAAAATATAAAAAAATGAAGAGAATATAACAATAATAACTGAAACCCGATGACACTGAGCTTTAGGATACTTTTGCCGGAAATTGTGACAGGTTTCATAAAATTTATGTAAAGGCGAATCGAAGTCGTTGCAAATAAAGAATTTTAACTTAATTGTATTTTTATGCTCTTTCGTCTTAAGCATTAACAATTTCCAGAATTTTGTTTTAAAACTGGCTTGTATAGAATCATTAGATTTTTTTTTTAAGCAGGAGACGTGAAAAATGTGAAATGCCTTCACCGGGGCTTGCACCTGGCTCCAATACGTGCCGAGTGTGCAACTGTTACACTACGAAAGCATGCTGGAAGAAAAGAGAAAATACCTCACAAACAAACCTAATATTATTCTGGTTTTGATTACATTTGCTTATGCAAGGTAAGTTACAAAAACCTCGAACTGGATATAAAGATAGTAAATCCAATTATTTTAGAAGAAAATATTAATACAAAAGTGTACACATTCAAGGAATTTTACAAGAGAACGAAAATTTTTTTCTAGGCAGAATGGCTCAACCACTCGTTATGAACATACCTTAGAGGAGTACATGAGCTATTTGGGAAAGAACTTGCTGTAAGTAACGAGTTATGGTTATAGTAATAACGATATATTACCTCCGGAGGTAGTTCAAAATTAAGGTAAGTGAATTCAGCCCTAGATTTGCTGTTGAATAAACAAAATAAACAAATATTTCATTTCAGGAAATAATAGTTTGGTTTATTTTGATTATCGCAAAGAACTAGAGGTCTGCCTGCCCAAAGGAAGAGATACTTTCGCGAAAGGCTTTTTAGGAAGAAACTAACTTGTATACATGTTATACAGTGGGTAAACTACTACGCAGCCAGGCCGTTCGCCGGGATTCGAATCGGGGACCGAAATACCAGTGTTTGTTCAGCGACTTTACCGCTCGGCCGCTGGTGGACTTCTAGAATAATGATAATCTATCGTTGCGAAATAGCTTTTGAACAGCATAGCGTCACCGACTCAGTATTACAGAGAAGCTAGTGATAGGAAACTCGAAGCATCTTCTATATTTTATACATATTGTTATGAATTCTGTACAATGTAATATGAGTGGGCTCAAGAAAGACGAAGCTTTGCCGGAAAAATAAGATTACAGGAGCAAATCTGTTTAACCAGAGGTAAATGGCTATCTCGCTAAATTTGCGAGCTACCACCAAACTGACGTTAATTTTCGCAACTAATTTTTGTCGCCAAATTTAACGAGAAATTACCAACACCGCCAACCTGGTTGATCATTTGGCGATATTCTGGACCGGTCCTTCTATAACTGTAATTGATTCCTCTATGTAGTTGCAATCGCATTCAGCACTTATATGTAACATTAACACCCGTAATTTCGAAAAATGGAAGGTACTCTAATTTCCCAAAAATTGTTTCCCTGTGAGCTTTTTCTTTTAGATGCGCTTTGCATTGCGTTGTGTTTAACGTTTTTAGTAGTTCGAAGTGGTAGCTACTGATTGTTGACTGTCGTAATGAGAAGAGCTGTCCGAGTACTTTTGTGGGAAGTTCTAGAACTGGAAAGTGTTTCTTTTAGGAAAATAAATTTTATCAAGCTGTCATCGGCTCTGTATGCATTGAGTCCATTACGAAATCGTACACACTTAATAATATTATCATTGCTCAGTAGAGCCGATTCAGATTTCTTAGCTGTAGATTGTACTTTTTTGTTATCTATAGAAATCAGCCAAGATATTCCTTGATGAACTATTGTAAGACTTCATGGCATTCCTTTCTTGTGAGGTTTATTCGAACTTGGGGTCGCGGGGCAGAGCGGTGAATGTGTGTGCCGCTTAGGCTGAAGTGCGCATACGTAGCGTTCATGGAAACGTTAAATCTCTTCCCTAAAAGCTTTGATTTGCACACATTTCTTGAACCCCCCCTCCAAAATCATAAAATTTCCAATTAAAATTCCTTATTTAATTAAACAATTCTTAGTACTCTTATTATATATTAATATACTAAATATTGATTATATCACAGAACTTTAGAAAAATTTCAAAGCCTAGCTCTTAAAAAATAGTTAAATAGAAT